CCACTGCAAAATGCAGGGTGCATTAATAGGCAGAAAAAATAGGGATACCCATATACGCATCTTTCATGTCCACCAATGCCAGAAAGCCAAGAGGAGAGCACAGAACAGTTAGATTACATACCAAGCTTTTAGACTCAAGAAACCATTGAGGAACTTGAGATCAGAAATAGGGTAAAAAACCCTTTTGCCTTGGGAACAGTGAACAGGTTGGATTAAAGCCCCTGAAAAGTTTTCTGCCTTTGGAACAGGGACTATGACTATACACAGCAAAAAGATCCATCCGACTTTGGAATGATTTTGGTAATTTGAACAGCGGAAAAAGGATTCAAAGAGATCATGCCGGATAATTGTCTGCAGGTATCTGCCAGGTCAACTGCACAATAGCGCAAGGTCACAGAAAGGAGCCCCAACTGTTTTAGTATGGCAGGGTCCCTCAAGATAGGCCTAGGGTATCTAGCTATGGCTTTTGACCACACAGATAAGGTCTGCAACATAGTGGCAACAACAGGTTGCATAGCATGATTTGCATGGGCAAACAGTGCTTCTAACCTCTTGTCCACAACCTGATCCTCAAAACCAGAACAGCCCCTACTGGGGCTGCTAATGTCTTGTTCAAACAAGTGATAGATATCTAATGTCTTGTTCAAACAAGTGATAGATATGTCGAAGACAAGGCCAGACTATTGTTTAAAGGGGTCCTAAAGCCTCCCATTTTTTGCCTATATCTACTGCTGACAAGCAGTAGATATTAGGCAAAAAGTAAAAAAAACAAAACGCTTAAACTGCGGTTTAGACTAACCTCATTATCGCTGCGCACTCCCGCGGCGAGAGTCCGGAACTGTTTGTGCGGCCGCAAAGGATCTTGGGGCGGGCGCATGCGCAGTTCGGATTCTCGGCCAGGAGACGAGCAGAGACGCAAGGTAAGTCTATGGACGCGTGCACCCGCATGCAGACACCGCTGGATCAGAAGTGCCTGCAAGCAGAGAGGAGTCAGCGCTGGGTCGGAGGGCCGCCGCACCGCTGGAGGGACAGGTGAAAACATCAGGAAAGAAGAGGAAGATCGGATTAAGAGACATCATTTAAGGTAAGTGCTGACATTAACATTGGGGGATATGATCTGACATTGTCTAAGAGGCAGGTTAGAGGGGGACTTGTGTCAACACTGAGGTATGACCTAGTACAGCAGTGCAGTCTAGTACCTAGTACAGTCATGCAGAGTATTAGCATGTGGCCACCTCAGCACGCCAGAAGAAGGAAAATGGCCCATATACCGGAAGGGGCTTTTACACTGGACAGCACCAGCAGGGACTAGCGCTGACCTACCAGACCCTTAGTGGCAGCAACCAGACAGAGCAACACGGTCATTTAAAGGGGACATGTTCCATTCAGTCTTTGCCCTCCTCATGGGTATACCCCCCCCCCCCCCCCCCGGGCTTAAACGATAGGACCACC